TCTCATCATCATTCAAAAATAACCGTTTAAATGTTGTCCAATTTTGTTGATTATCACCGTCAAGTGTTCGTAAGTGATTCAATGTGTATAGGCAACCTATAGCATCACCTTCATCTTGATCATCTGTTGATGGATATAACCAGTTTTCTCTCAACAGTTTGTATTCATTAACGGCATCTAAAATGACTTCCACTTTCAAATTTCCTAACCAATCTTCGATTGTTTGTCGTTGTCTGTTGATTAATTTATCTTGTTCAATTAATATTTCAATTTTTATATCATCGTCCAAATTAACATGATGTCGGAGGATCTCCGCTGCTCTAGCTAACGATTTTGATGAACATAATTCTAATATGTTAATACTTTCCATAAATTAATGTTTACATACACCATCACATAATAGTTGGCTGGCATATTCGAGCCAGTTTTCAGCCATGACACGAGCAATTGTTTGATCATCATCTGCATCGGTGAATCGATCATTTAAGTTCATTATTTCACACATCCATAATACAGTTGTTTTAATAAAATATGATGGGATTATGGTTTTACTAATGTCTTCTAATGACGGTTGATTTTTCAAATATCCATAGTAAATACTTCTTGCAACATCATTCAGAATTTGTTCAACTCGTGTACGATTCATAGCTAATAGACGTTCGATAGCTGAAAATGAATATCGAAATTCTAATTCTTGATCAATTTCTGGCGTTTTTGTAGACCATTTTGGTATGAGATGAATCGAAGATGTTTCATGTATCATTTTGTATAATGTAGGACGATTGTGTTTAATCCTATCAAGAAATAATTGTACATCATTTGGCCAAAATTCAAGTTGTAAAGCTGGTACATAATCTGCTTCATTATTCATACTCAATTGTCCATATTCAAAATAATCTTCCAGCATTGACGCATTTCCAAGATGTTTATATTTTTCATAGAATTCAAGTAAAGAATTTAATCTCACTTTATTCACTTGTGGCATTTGAATATTATATGTTGGAAATGTTAAGCTAATTATGTCTTGAAATATTTGTAAATTGAGATCCTCTGCATCAGATATTAATCCTATTAAAGGTAGCACATATTGCGAAAGGGATTTTTGATATGTATTACAAGCCAATATATATTTTGATTGTAATATTTCAATATTTTCTTTTGCTTTCATTCGTCGAATGGAATTCAACATATTTTCAAATTGTTCACCAAGTGACGTTGTCGCTGAATTACTCTTATATTTTACCTCAGTACTTGCTGAATTGACCGTTGTTTGACCAGTAGCAGTAAGCGTTGATGTTGGAAAAAATGANCAACTTTGTAAACTTTCAATGAAAAGTGATTTCAGTAGCAACTCGATAGAATCATCTTCCCGATCACAAGTTGCCGTTTATTATCGGCACATCAAAAGTCGGGGTTGATGCTGTATTAATGCAAGTAAAAAACAAATAAAAATGTCCACAACTAATCACCTTCATGCCCTGGAAACTTCATGCAGCATTGGACCACAATTCAACATAAACGTTATGCTGTAATAGACATTGCCAAATTGTGAAACCCGTACGTGTCCGGAAATCAATTCACTCTGAGAGTGAGGGTTTCTACGGTGAAGTTGATACAATGAGATTGGGCGTGACCTGTGTGGTCTATGATGTCTTTTCTTATGTTGGCATCAGTTGTTGAAATTTTGCGGAATGCTTGAGGATCAAATGAGAAGCATCAGCGTCCATTTGGCCATTGCTTAATCAATCAAATCGGTTCTAATTTTAGAATATTTTTTTTGTTATTCTTCTACCTGTATTTCTACCTGTTTTCTGTTATCTAATTTAGGGGTGTTAATTTAGTGTTCCTTTGGAAAATAAATGTAAATGAATCATTTATACTTAAAAAATAAATATAAATAAATGAAAAAAAATTTATCTTTATTTTATAAAAGTAAATGATTCCTTTATATTTGGAAATTTATTTAACAGCAGCGTTTTAAAACTTCATTAAAATATTTTATTCAGTTCTAGACTATTTTCAACGTTTAGAACTGTACAAAGTTCATTATAAAAAAGTAAACTAACAATGTACGTAACTTATGAACACGAAAATATGATATATTTATTCCTGGAAATGATCTTTGTATAGTTCAAAACGTCGAAAATAATTTAGAATTGAATAAAATATTTTAATGAAGTTAAAAAATGCTACTGTTATCGTGACGTCGGTTTTGTCCCTCAGCTCTTCTCATGTCACTCGATGGTAAAGTTTTGATGCTTCATCTAATTAGTTTTGTTTTTTACGCCAATTACCTTTTATTACCTTTTACGAACCGAATTTTTCTTTCTTGATGTGTTCACCAGTTTTGATAATATCTACGAGAAAACTTAGAGTAGTACATGACCCTATTCGGATCACGAATTACTACTAGAGGTGCTTTGGTTGCCCAGCATCCAGTTTGATTCAGCTTAAATAAACTTCTTAATTTAAAAGATTGGACTGGACTGCTGTTTTTCTAAAAAGAAAGTGTGTGAAAAAGCACCTATACAAAATCAAAGTGAAAAGACTAATCTATCCCTTTGATAACATAAAATAAAGTTCACAGTAAAGAAAAACAAGGAAAAAGTATTTGTATTTAGGCAAAATATGATCAGACAAGTCCGTACAGACCGGTAAACCGGTCAGCGGTATACCGGCCGGTATCGGTGCCGGTCCGGTACTGGTCCTCAGTTTATATACCGGTGAGCGGTACCGGTATTGCACGTTTAATACCGGGTACACTACAGCACGAGCTTGTTTATTCCTTCAACTACTGTCTCTCGTTTTGCTCTTTAGATGAGCATAAGTTTTGGTAGAATCACAAATCCAAAGACTCAGAACTACAGTGAAAAAAGTTCAAAGAACAAAATATCTTCAAGTTCTACTTTGATGTTCAAGTGATTTTAGACGGCTTGTCTCGTAGCCCGTGAAATTCTCTATCAGATGATTGAACTCTTTTGTTGAATCATTAATTTACAAATAAGATTTTAAACAAGCAGAGTAGAGTAGCGTAAGTTAACGTTAATTAGCAACAATTAGTTAATAACAGAAAGAAAAAAAAATCATTTTAGACTATTTTAATATACCGAATAATCTTCGCACATGTCTCTTTTGATCTACGTGTAAGAGTCAAGTTTTCATTATGAATGGCGAACAATAATGCCAGTAAGCCGAAAAAACTTGAGGACATATGCTTCGAAGTGTGCTCTACAAACTGGGAAGGTACAAAGAACTTAAAATGGGGAGAGCCCCCTTAAGATTTCAAGAGATCCTCTGAAAACTTCTTTCTTGCATAAATATTTGCTGATTTTTCATCAATTCCAATCGACAGATACAGTCATTTAGAATATATTCTAATAGTTTGAGCTGTTTTAGACTGCTTTGAGGGTTTTATACAGCGTTTATTAGTAGCCATGTTATGAAATGAAAGATGTAATTATCAGAAAAATTGCCCTATTTATTACACTAGTTATTTGTTTTTAATTTTCACATTCATTCGCCAAATTATTTGGTTGAAGAAAATTAAGTACATCTACCTGTATTATGCCGATGTAGTTTGAAAGAAAGAAAGAGAAGCAAAAAAGTAAAATGCTTCTACAGTGTGAGGATACAAGCATATTAGAAACATTTTACGCTGTAGGCATTGTATAACCAGCATACACTACTATTTGAATGCTCAATAGGCATGAAAAAACTATTTGTACTATGAATTTTCGCTTGCAATCAGTGTTTGACAATTAAATAGATATCATGTTAATGGGCTCTTCCCGCAACAACTCCACTGATCCGATCGTACCACAACCAGCTCAAATATTAACAGAGCGCGAAAAGTTTGCTCTACGCTTTCAGTCGACGGTTAAAAACAACAACCGAACACTAAGAAAAACTGTAGAAAAACCGCCGAGTGAACATCCGCTAACTGCCGACGATGTTAAAGATCATTTTATCTGGGCGATTAATTCAACTCTTCTGTGCTTTTTCATCATTGGTCCATGTTTTGCCTTATATCATTCACAACGCGTACGAAAAATGAAAGCAAACAAAGAATACGTCAATGCCAAAAAGTTATCTGATCGTGTAAATAATATATTAGTTATATCGAATTTAATGGGCGGTATAGTTTGGATTGCAATTCCTTTTGTTATCATTGTTTTATTTATATACCTTGCTCCAAATCATTTATAGAATAAACAACAATATTTAGCACGACTTAAGAACCGAAATAGTCTGAGAAGCTTTTTGTTTACTTTAAGAAATGAGATGTATATCCCCACTTTTCTGCTGACTGGAAATGTTTTGAACTGTTCTGAAGCGAAAATTCATAGTACAAATAGTTTTTTTCATGCCTATTGCGCATTCAAATAGTAGTGTATGCTGGTTATACAATGCCTACAGCGTAAAATGTTTCTAATATGCTTGTATCCTCACACTGTAGAAGCATTTTACTTTTCTGCTTCACTTTCTTTCTTTCAAACTACATCTGCATAATACAGGTAGATGTACTTAATTTTCTTCAATCAAATAATTCGTAAGAAAACAGTAAAATACCTATCGTGGTAATATTTAATTTGACCTCTTTCTTATTACTGATCTTCAGAGTCGCGTGTATTTACGTGTTATGAACGAATGAAATCTCACTGCCGTTGTGGTCGGAAACTATTCAAATAATAAGATATGTTCCAGCTATTTTGCCTGAGAAAACATGCGAACTCACACCACTAGAGAATTGTGAGTGGTTCTTTGTGGCTGTGTGAGCCAGTAAGTGACTGATATTTCTTCCATCTCTTGTATGGGGATGGGAAGGTGCAAGCACATCATCCAAGAACACAAAAACATCTAGAATCTTTAGTGGGATAGGCATGAGAACAAAGTTCTGTTACAACGACACAAGATGATCTTAGATATATACGTGTTATTATTCAGCAAACCATTGCAATCATCGGTGAAACAGAGTTGGTTGGACGTATAATTGCACGAGGTACATGTGATATATGGATGAGCTCGAACTTCCATTGTATAGAGGATTAACCTAAAAAAATGTGTGCTCCACTTATTTTGACCAGGGGGTACATCTTCATAATAGGCGTGCTAATAGGCTCACCCAAATTATCGTTCTGTTAGTAGTATAACTGACTTCTTTTCTAAAAAGAAACTTAAGAACAGATGGGTCTTCTGTTTCAACGACGAGACCGATGGGATCTTGTAATGTGACAATCCCTTTACTTCTGTTTATAGATCAAGACTGTCAGTCTGTCAGATTAAAATGGTGGTTTAGTTCGTCATTCTTCAGGTTGCTAGACCACAACAATACTGATTCAAAAGCTTTCGAGAAAACCCGCGTGCTTCGATAACGTTGATCTGGCTTGCATAGATCGATAGAGGGCAGTTCCGTGGTTCGAACCCATGTGGGGATTTAAAAGCGCGTGATTTCTGCATATCACAGAAATCCACTCTTTCAAATGTTCATGGAGCACGCCCACCGGTGTTATTTTTCCTTTTGATAGAAATATGTCCAGAAGTCAGATTGATTTAAAATGAGTTACTGGGAAATTCGGAGCGCAAAACTAATGAAAAAAATTAGCGACAAGCAACGGACAGTTCATACAAGATCGTGTAATTTTGTAATTGAAACATCGCGTTGTGCCTGTTCACGGATAGACATTTCAGAAGCGACAAGATAGCACCAGCAGCTGATTTTAAATTAATATTTATTTAATTAATATTAAAAAGAATTTTTAAGAACAATTTGACGTTTCGAAAATTGTAAATGTTCAAGACAGTAAAAACGTTTAACACGATGTAAAGTTAAAACGAATACAACTGAAGAAATGAAAGAGAGAGGAAAATACATTTTTTGTGTTGTTGAGAGTAACAAAGGAATAGACATATATCTCACAGGAAGTACATAAGTCAATCAAACTAGTCTTTGACAAACAAATCTCGATACAACATTTTGCGACACACAATCCTCATAGAAAGTGCGACATATTCCACAGCGATCCCAAAATGTGACACGTTATTTTTTAGTATCAAGGCAGAACCTAACCGCATACGTACCCATAATTGAAATCTAAAACACTACCGATAGACGTTGAACATGACGTGTCCAAGGTTCCTCTTCAACGAAAGGAAGAGGTTTTATCATTAAAACAAGCGGAACTGAATTAC